TAGACTTGTCTAAGATGGTTTCATTAGCTCCAGCCTCACCCCCTGACCTGTAATCTATCTGCTTCTAAGTTGGCTAGCCTTAGAGGTAAGGGACATATGGTTTTGATACCCTGATGGCCGACAGGCACTACATGTGGGGTCTGGATCACACTGAGCATCAGGAGACTATAGCTAATGAGGCAACCGACCCCACTGGTGCAGCTGGTGACATCTGGAGGCCCCACCCAGCTGTGTTCATCTGGAAGTCCAAAGCCAGGATCATCTTGCCCAACAGTTGATAATGGTTCCATCCTAGAGCAATGACCCAAAAGTTAAGATAGCAAAGCTCTGGACCGAGAGGTTTTTCCTGGTTGGATTATAGTAAGTACTGGAGCTTTAGGACAGTCCATTTTGTTGCCTTTTGTCTGGTGGCTTGGTCCTTAAGTGGTTACTTACCTTAGTTGGGATCCAACGTTTCAGTTTCCAACTTGGAGGGACTTCAGTATAAATTTTTATATATTAAGATGTCAAAACAATAGCCAGAAACTGCTTGTTCTCCACCTGCAGCACGGAGAGACACATGTGCCGGCTGGAACCGCAGTTTTCATGGAGCACTGTGGAGTCACTTCTGATAACTCTGCCCCAGCCCAGCCCTGCAGTGATGGAGGCAGCCTCCTGCTAAGCCCGCAGTACTGAGTCCCCCTTTTTCCTGCTCGCACCCCATTTGAACTCCAATATTGGTTTTTAATCCTACTGCTTAAGTCTAGGTCTTTTCCCCAGGTGAGTGGGTGCTCATTTAAGGACAGAGTCTCCCTCCACCCCCCACGGAACCTTTATGTCACTGTCTCTTTTCATATCTTAACCCTCCTCTTCCTCCTGTCCTATACATGAATCCAGTTTGTGGGAAAGAATCTAACACAGCACTGTGCGTGTCGAAGGTATAAAATAAGAAACCATTTCCTTGCTGCCAATGGAGAAAACTTTGATCCTGGAGACTCAGAAGAACTAGGTTGGAGACAATATCTAATTTAACAAGTTCCTTAATCCCTCTAAATCTTCCCCCCTTCATGTATTAAAGGGGGATAACAGTTCCTGTCTTTCAGGGTTGTTGTGAGACTCACATAAGATAACACATGTAGGGGGGGAAAGGTGTTCTCTGAACCCTGCAAACACCACAAAGGGGTTGTTATTTGTCCTTCGCGGAGCCTTCCCTGACTTTGTTCACTCACACCAGCTTCTTTCTTATCTTAACCACTTATAGTGCTTATTGTTTGTACTTATTACTGTAGTTAATAAAATGCTTCAGGTGGTCCATTCCCTAACTCGACTGCATTCTCCTTGAAAGCAGGGAATGCACACCTTGTCCACCCTACAGTTCCGCCGGGTCCAGCACACAGCCCAGTAAACCCCTCTGCGTCTGCGTGCGGGCCAGTGACCCCGGGCTGGGCTTACGCTGTGTGTTTGTAGACAGAATATCGTGTAGGACCACCTGTGGTCACAGGAGGGCCACCAAGAAAGACAGGAGCAGGAACTTTGTCGAAAGAGTAATGTGGAGTAAGAAGTAAATGTCTGAGGCTTTTCTGATGATTTGGAAAACTTAGGATAGAATATCTTTTTACAGGAAAGCAGAGCATTCTAACATGCCGTGTCTAGAATTGTCCTTTAAAAACTTCTGGTCTATTGCCTTTCATTCTAGAGTCCATCTAGGGAGAGAACAAAAAGCCTGAGTATTTTAGGAAACAAAGCCTCACTGCCTGAAGAAGGTTCAGGAACGTGACACATGGAACTGGTCGAGATCAGCCTGATCGCAAATCTGCCTGCAGCCCCGAGACAGCATTGACTTGGCAATGAAGAACAGCTGGTGTGGCCAAAGTCTGAACGTGACTAATACTCATATTGGCCGGATAATAGAATCATTATTATCTGTCATGATGGTTTTCATTTGTGGAGAGCTTTCTAGTACAGGCGTACCTCAGAAATATCATGGGTCAGTTTCAGGACACCGCAAAAAAGTGAGTCTGAATCTTGTGAAGGATCTTGCCTTCAATTTGTAAAAAAAAAAAAAAAAAAGCAACATCTGTGAAACGCAATAAAGCAAAGCAAAATACAGCAAGGTAGACCTGTACTAACAACCCTTCTACACTCATCTCATTTGATCTTTACAAATAAGGCATGAAATCTCTCCCATTTTACAGATGAGCCTATCAGGACACAAAGAATGTGGGTTTTTAAATCCAAATCAGAGAGCTAGATAGTTTGTGGCCAACATATTAAAATATCAGTCCTCCTAACTTCCAGTCCCCTGTTCTATTTGCTAAGAGACCAACCCTGTGATGAATTGTGTGAGGAAGTAGACTGTATATGAATCAGCTGGGCTTAGGTTGGGGGTGGGGGTGGGGTCTCACCTTCACACTTGGTGTTAATTGTTCTTCAGTGTTGCTAATTAAATCATGGCAATGTTGCACATTTTCATCTGTTCTTCCAAGAGTCAACATTAGACAGATATCTCTGGGATGTGTCATGTTTAAGTAGCTAATTTAATTAAAGTCATGTCTGTCCCAGAGTGCAATTATAAAAAAAAAAAAAGCAGGTAAAATGGAGTATATGACATTTAAACCAAGAGGCTGCATGACATTCTCAATCTTTTCTTCTTCTAAATGTTAAGATGTTGCTGTTTCTTTATTTCTTGCTAAAGCCTCTACCTCCTACCATTAAACAGTGAGAAGAGTATTGGCCTAGGAAGAGGTGGGGTCTAGCCCTAGCTCTGCCACTAATCATCTGGGTGGCTCTTGGTATGTCACTTCACTAGGCCGGGCCTCAGTCCAGATCTGTGAAATGGGGACAGCAGCGACGCCTGTCTTGCCCATCTTACATGTAGTTTGTGAGGGTGGAATTAGACAGGGACCCATGTGTCTCAGGATTCATAAGTGCCCGCTCACTGACAGTTTCCAAGGGCATATGCAGTCATTTGCTTTGTGGTCATGGGCAAGTTGCAGTCGTGTTCGAACCACAGTTTCTACATGTGTAAACTGTGCTCACAATACCCACCATACTGTGTTGTTACGAGGATTATAATGAGGCAGTACACGGAAGGTACTTGGTGCAGCGTCAGGCACAAAAGTAGGGGTCAATGAATATTTGTGGGTCAGGGAAACATGTCAAACGCCATTCATTGCCAGACAGAGGCCAGCTGTGGACTGCCTTTTCCCTTCTGCTTCTCTTCTGCTCTGTCTGCCCTTCCACTCGAAGGAAGGGGTCATGGCAAAGGGAAGCTTCATGCAGGCAGATGTTGGCATCAATGTCACAGTCTGTTCTGGGGATCCTTTCCACCCCAGGGTGGCTTCTCTAGATGCCCCCAATGACTACTCATATGTTGATGTTGCTTTTGTCCAGGTGGGCAAGGGTTGGTGTTGAAGTTGGATCCCAGCATCTTCAGGGTGCTGGCTTTCATAACATATGGGTGTGATGTGTACAGTCTTAGTGTCCTGTCCCCTTCCCAGCCTTATTTCCTGTGCCAAAATGCCTGCAAGCCTTGCAGAGCTGCTTTGCTCCACAGAGCTCAGGATTAACCTGCAAGTGGAAGAAACTAACATATAAACTGTCACTGAAGGGCTGGTGCGAAAGAAACCTGCTCGTGAGAGCAGATCCAAGAGGGCTGCGCCGGGTGGGGTGCAAGGGAGAGATTTCTGGGGATTGGAAGTCGAGGAGGGTGAGGAGCAGGGTTAGGTAAAGGAAACATAAAAGAGAGATAGGACAAGAAAAAAAGTTGCACCCACTTTATGGTTTTTCTGAAGGTTCTTCTTGACCATCAACAGCTATTGGACCATCTTCCTACAGTCTGAGCAAATGGTGCTTAATCCATCGAGGGAGCTGGATAGTCTGTTTTTTAAAATGAAACGTGTTGTAAAGTAAACAGTGCCTCTGCTCCAGATCGTGAAGGGTTTGAAAGACACATCGACATCCATGAATCCCAAAATACGGGTATCGAGATAAAAGGCTACAAAGCCACGCGAGAGGAACAGCAGCTCCTGGAAATCCCAGAAGGGAGGATAGAGAGAGTGAGCTGGAGCTGGTTGGATGAGGCCTTCACAGTCATATGCTTTGGACACTTTAAAAAACAACAACTTGTTTACTAACCAGGCAATACAGATTATAAAAACATAAAATATAGATAAGCATGAAGGGAAAAAAGTCCCCTATAACCTCACCAATCTAAAACTGCTAACAGTTTTGTGTATAGAGAGACAAGACAAGCATCCGTGGTTAAGGCCTGGATTCTGGGCCCACCTGCCTGGTGCAAAGCCCCACTTCCCCATTTACCTGCCGAGAAGCTACAGATAAACTGGCCTCTATGGACCATTTCCTCATCTGTAAATTAGAGATGATGACGACTTCCAGGGTAGTTGTAAGAATAAAAGAAGCTAACATAGTAGTGCTTAAAACAGTGCCTGGAATATACTATAAATGACAGCTGTAAGAACAGTAGTTATTATTTTATTATATTTCTATACTTGTTCTAATATGATATATAAAAACTATTATATATTTCTATGAAAACCGGATTGCACTGTACACTTTTGTAATGTTTTTACTCTCGTGGTCATCTTTTCATGGACAGATGTGTTATTAATATTAGTTAATGCTGATCTCTTCCAGTTGGGAGGGCCTGGTGCTAATGATTTTACATAAATCATCATACTTCAGGCTCACAGTAACTCTGTGGGGTATAAGAACTATTATGCCCATATTACAGATGAGAAAACTGAGGCTAAGTGGTCTAAATCATTTGAGTATATAGAGTTGGCAATGGAGAAGTTAGAATTTCACAGCACAAACACCCACGAGCACAGAGCTGGCGATAGAAAGCAGGTGTGTGGCTCAGACGACAGGTGTGAGCCTGTATTGGTCCGGTGTCAGAGATTGGTTGTACCAGGGATTGGAGGCCCTCGGGATATCTTGATCAGGGGTGTGATAGAATGACAGTGATGTTTTAGGGACTAACCCTTTCTCTCTCAATCTAGGAGTAGCTCGGAGAGGAGGAAGGAGAAGTCCAGGGATGCAGCGAGGTGCCGGAGAAGCAAGGAGACGGAGGTCTTCTATGAGCTGGCCCACGAGCTGCCGCTGCCCCACAGCGTGAGCTCCCACCTGGACAAGGCCTCCATCATGCGCCTGGCTATCAGCTTCCTGCGAACACACAGGCTCCTGTCCTCAGGTGAGGCTGGCAGACTCCCCAGCAGTTAGAAGGCCCCTGGGAGCATCTCCCCACCCAGGCACTCTCACTGCAAGACTTCCACCCACAGAAACACCATCCTTCGTGCTTTATTCCTTCATGGTACACATCTGTCTTCCCGCAGTGCCCTTTACAGTGAATGCAGCCATGAGGCGAAGGGCAAGAAGGACCAAGGAAACGCATGGGCCCCTGGAAGCCAGGGAAGAGGGAAGGGCTGGGAGAGCAAAGCAGCTTTGCTGGCCTCTCAGTGCCTTTCCGCCTGGCCAGGTGACCACGCTCCACCCTAGGCCGAGTCCGGAGGGGGTTTCGGTGCCCATCGTCAGCCACCTTCTCCGAAAGGGCAGAGGTGTGCCCCTACGATCGTTCCCTCTTACTAGCCAGCGTGCCAGGCAGATTATCTGGTGTGCCTGCTCTTGATTCCCTCCACTGTAAGAGAGGGTTCAAGCACTTCTTGCACGGGGTCTGTGAGGATCACCCTAGCCAGCGTGCCAGGCAGATTATCTGGTGTGCCTGCTCTTGATTCCCTCCACTGTAAGAGAGGGTTCAAGCACTTCTTGCACGGGGTCTGTGAGGATCCCGAGACGGCTGCTGTCTGTGAGGCTCCCACGCAGCCTCGTTCGCTCACAGCGGGGAGCCTGAGGGACAACAGCCTCCCCCGAAGCCGCTCGTCCTCACCCGCCCGGCGTCTCTGCAGGCCTCAGGTTCACAAAGCCTTTCTTTGCTCAGAGTTGACGTTCTCCATAAAGCCATTTCCCGTTAGTCCTGACCAGGGAGAGGTGGCCTGAGTCTCGGGTCCTCGGCGGCAGTCCCGTCCAGCCTGTCAGTGTAAGCAAACGGGTGGTGGGCAGCGTCCTTCCTCGCCTGCGGGCTGCTCCAGGCGGGCAGCGTCCCGGGCGGTGAGCGTGAGGGGCGGGCAGGGCAGGGGGTTCTGTTGCGGTCGGTTTGCAGTTTTCCTGAGGGAGCCGGGGGGCTGGAGCCGGTGGTTCTGCCATCCTGTTATGAAGTGGCTATTCTGGGAAAGAAAGCCTGAGCTAAGGGGATCCAGCGCGGCTGGGAGGCCGGACCGGCATGTGCTATTCTGGGCCCTGGAGCACAGGAAGGATATGGGGACAGACTTTCAGAAAAGAGGATGACAGCTCCGTGGGCCCGAGGGTTGGAGGGCTAGCCCTGTGCTGCAAGTCTAAAGACTCTTGGAAAAGTACGGACAGGAGAGGGGAACCACAGGCAAGGACATGTCCTACAAAATACCTTCAGAGAAACAGCGCAAAGCAGTGGGACTCGGTGCGCTACACGCTACAGAGAGAGAGCACAGTGGGCCGGGGCGTAAGAAGGGCCTGGGGATGCCGTCCGTCTCAGGGAACATGTGCGCCTCTCTCGTCTAAGGAGGCTCGTCGTCCCGGACAGGTGAGGCAGTGTCTGGTAGTGTTGGAATCACCGTCACACATACTCAGAGTAGGCAGTGGGGGATTTCATGACTAGGTGAAGACCCTTCCTGACACCCAGAAACATCTTAACTTCCTGCTAATGGTACTTGAAATTCTGCTCTTAGATATTAATTTCTTTGGGCTAATCATTGCTTCATTCCCTCGCCACCCCTATTCCACCACCAACAAAGAGCCCCAGAAGGGGTAATGCATTAGGTCCGGACACCTCCCTGAATTTGGACTTGTAGAATGTTTCATAGATGATGAAACACGAAGCACAGAAAAGCTAAGACCAGTGTGGCTCAGTGGATTGAGCGTCATCCCATGGTCTGAGAGGTCCTGGTTTGATTCCCAGTCAGAGCACATGACAGGGTTGTGGGCTCGATCCCCAGTAGGGGGTGTGCAGGAGGCGGCCAATTCATGTTTCTCTCTCACATCAGTGTTTCTCTCTCTCTCTCTCTCTCTCCCTTCCTCTCTCTCTAAAAAAGTCAATAAGAACATTTTTAAAAGAAAGAAAGAAAAGCTAAGGTTGCCCAAAGCCACACATTTAGCACACGGTGAATCTGCACCTGAAATTCAAATTCGTTTTGAATCTTGGTCCATGAGGAAGACAGACACCGGAGGGCAGACGCGTTCTGCAAACCTGGTCAGGTGAAGGTGTTTACAAGGGCTGGTGTGTGGAAGAGGAGGCGAAAGGCCGGGAGCCAAAGTTCAGTGGAGACTCCTCGGGCTGACCCTGAGCAGTGGGGCGGGCAGGCGGTCCTCACACGTTCGGGGGGTGTTTCTGACCTTTGTCTTGGTGCCTGGTCTTGTTTTCCATGTTCTCCCACACATAAGCCTATTTGTGGGTCAGAGGTTGACTTTGGGAGGACTGTAGTCAGAGGCTGGGCGTCTGAGCACGTTTTGCATATGTGCTGGTGTGGACCCCTGTGTGCCAGACATGCCGAGGGAGACAGGAGCAGAGTGGCCACAGTGAGACCTCACACATCTCCACTCGGGAGCTGTTGCAAGTTCTGGGTGCAAACTGCCTCCCCTCTGGCTGGGTGGCCCCAGACCAACCAGAGTCCTCAATATGTCTGCTCTGGTCCTCTCTGTCCCACAGTAAGAAATGACAGAAAAGGATACAGAGCCATCCAGGTGTCCTTGAAGGAGCAGTTCTCATAAAACAAGTGTCACCCAGGGGAGGAGGAGCTAGATGGCACTCAGCATCCTCTTTCTCTACCCTCCCTTCCAGGCTCCCGCCACACTCCCCTCACCCAGCTGTTGATACTGTTTCCAGGAATTGGGAGGGGCTGGGGGGGGGGGGACAGGATCTTTTTCTTTTCTAGTCATGTTTTGCTTTTTCAACACATGTGTTTCAATGAAAAGGAGTAAGGACTTGTGGGCAGACAGACCTGCATTGGAACCTCAGTCCAGCTACCTCCTTTCTCTGCAACCTGAGAAGATCTCTTGACCGTCTGACCTTGACTTTCCTCATCTGCACGAAGGGGACAGAGTACTTGCTAAGCAATGCTGTTGGAGGGTTGAGATCATGGATATAAGAGCCCTTATCCTCTTGCCTACCGCATATTAGGCTCTCACAAGTGATAGCTCAGAAAGCAAAATTACTATGAACAAGTAAATTGATTAATAAGTATATTTAATTTGTATATATATAATTTATAATTGATATATATATATATTATAGTATACTATCCTCTTACCTGTCTTTCAGCGATTTCTGTCCAAACGCAGTTGCCAAGCTTTCCCAGGTCAAAATAGATTCGTTATCGAAACGTTGCTGACGACGGTGAGCGCTGATGTGGGTTCATTTTATAATAGGAAATGGCTGGTTGCATACCTCAGAGTTCAAAAGGCTAAAAAAGACCAGGTTTTGCTTTAGAAAAGTTTCTTCTTTACTTAGTAACACGCTTCCCTTTGATTTTCACAGTAGGCTGTTCTGTGTGGGAATGTTGGAGAGGAAACCTCGGCGCTCAGAAATCCAGGCTAGGAGTCTGGGCTGCCGAGAGAGATTTGTATCACAGGAAGCAAATTGAAACAATAGCTTTATGATATTAGCTTCCACGCTGGGCCGAGAACAGAACACACTCTGACGGGAACATCGGTGGAAATACCACTTGATTGTCTTAAATCTTCTTTCAAGACGAGGGTGACTTCTGCACCCGAAGGGCACTGAACAACAGTAAATATGCAACATTGGCTTTTCACCATCACACGGATTTTCGACTTCACCACACTGGTTTGTGGTGAAATCAAATTCATTTTACGTGAGAGCTGGAGCTGAATGTGAAGCAAAGTTTCTAAAGTGAAACGTCAGCTTGATTATTGATTCATTAGCATTTGCTTGCTAAAGACATCAGCCTTGATAAGAGATGATGACTTCCTGATCTTTAGACTATTAAGGGACAGATATTAAAATGTGGGACAAGTAACTTTACCGTGATCTGTTCATGCAAGAAAAGTGGAACCAAAGGGGGAATTTGTGGAGGCAGATGTGGTTTCGGGTGCCCTCTTATCACCTCCAGACTTCTTTTCCTAGGCTTGCACCCCCTACTTTTTTCCTGTCCCACCCCTTGCCTCATTCACCCTTCAAACCAAGACCTTTTTCTGTCCTGTTTGGAAAGGAGCTGATAAGCTGATTCATGCTAGGATGTTAATGTCTAAGAGTAGCTAATGTGTAATCTCTTCTAGAGATACTGACCTTGTTCAGATCATTTCCTTAAGACTTAAACCAAAGAAGGATCTGGTCAATCAGTAGGTGTTCGCTAACACCAGTCCTGTGCTAGAGCTGATGAAAGTCAATACAGAGAGGTAAGGTAGGATGGTAAGTTATGTAAAGAACAAAGGAATGAATCTCTAAGAGTGGACTTTCAAGGCCCTTTGGGAGGCCAGAAAGATCGAGTAAAACCAGTACTTTCTGCCAAAGATGTGAGGGTAGCCCAAGCCCACTCCCTGTAACAGTAGAGTTTAAAAGTATGGCTAATGACCCAGGAAGCGATCAAAACACAATTTCCTTGTGGCAGACTGAGACTGCTCTCTCAGTCAGTACACCCAGGAGTCAGGGCGTCTGTGCCCCGGGAGAGCTAGAGGAGAGGCACTGGTTTAAAAGGACAGCCCTTGCAATGGTAGCTACGTGGTGACTGTCTGCCCAGCACACCTGGACCAGAACGGGTTTAAGAGTAGTCAAAGCAGTGGTGGAGCCTCCCGGAGTAGGAAACAAAGAGGAAGACACCCTGGTGGACTGAAAACAGATTCTAAGCAGCAGCAGCAGCAGCACCTGTGACAGCCTGGTCTCAGAGACCTGGCCAGGAGAATCTGCCCTCCACCCTGCCCACTCACCCCAGACGCCCAGCTCCTGCTGCCCACGGGGTCCTGCCCCACACGGGCGGTGCTCCCTGAAGGAAATGAGCGGTGCTCCGGAAAAAGTGCTCCGAAACCTCAGCCCGCGCACATCCTGGCTGTAGGGAGTCATCAAAGCCTGTTTACAGGGGCTATTTTTAGCATTAAAGAATCGTCTTGTTCTCCCTGAGCTGAGCAGGGCTGAGCAGGCTTCAGCTCAGCAAAGTGCCTCGGATTTTGGTGACCAGCCCCTCTTCTTGGGGGTCAGACTCTGAAGCAAGAACTGATACCGAGAACCCAAGGCAATTTGAAGACCCCCCTGGGCAGTTCACTGAGCACCTACTGTGGTGCTCTTTACCGGGCACCGAGGTCTTCTCCCTGTTGTGTGACCTGACAGGAGTGGATCGCCGACTTTACACCCCTGTGCAGTCCTGGAGGGACAGGGCTGCCCTTAGCTCTCCATATCCTCGTGCGCCCTAGGACGGGACTGAGCAGAGAGGCCTGATTTCCTCCTTTGTGACTCGAACAGGGCAGACACTACATGGTAGGAGCATAATAACTGCACGGTTGATTTCTCATGTGCCTAACACGGAGCTGGAGATTGATGGCCCTTAGGGAAGACACGACGCTCACAGCAGAGAGCAGGAAACAGGCAGTGAAGTCTTCAGTGGGGCTGGTGCGCAGGACCCCTGGCCCTTGCATGAAGGTCTGCCTCTCCCCCGCAGATTTCCCCCTCAGCCCCAAGCTGGCAGGGAGCTGGCCGGGTGCCTTCAGTAGCCCCCAGGAGAATAAGCAGGTGCTACGGGAGCAAACAGTTCCACAGAGGAAGGAGGCCCGGCTGTCCCAGGGTCCCCAGGGGCCCGCCTGCTGGCTTCCTGGTGCTCCAGCCATTGTGACTTCAGTTCCAAGACGTTCTGTTTCCACTGGTGGCCCCCCGAGCGCCCCTCTCCCTCCCCCAGAAGCCAGCTGCTGTAGCCAACTTCGCCACCTCCTGGAAGCAAGTGTACTGGCATGGATGGAAACCAGTCTGGCTGTGTTGGAACTGTTAAAAACAGGAAATTTTAAGCAGAACTATTTCCTCTGGGCCTAGTTAACCCAAATAAGGTTGTCTTGGGATTACTCCAGATTTTGAAGTCAGTGTTGCCACTGAGATCAAAGAAATGAAAGAGAAAAAAACCTCCTTCAGCGGCCAGAAATCACAGGGCTGGCCTCTGCTGTCTGGGGACGGTGGTCACCTATCTGGTGTGATGTAAACGGTGCTGAAAACCTCTCCTCACCCATCCCGAAATAGGTCACCACCTGCCAAAATAGGGTGATTTTCCCAGCATCAGGGTCACTCCTAGGGCCTTGAATTATGGTGGTAATTCTCAGTCTGTGGTCCTAGGGCCAGCAGCCTCAATATCACCTGGGAACTTCCTAGAAAAAGACTCTCAGCCCCCACTCAAGACCTACTGGATCAGGAAATCAGGGGGTGGGGGTGTGACTTGTACAGTCCTGCAGGACTCCACAGTTAGAGGGGTCCTGGGCCTGGTTTAATTTTTCAACACAAGGTCCCACATTTTTACTTTATACTGGGCCTCCCAAATTATATAGCAGTCCTGGGCCCAGAAACCCTGTTTTAGCAAGCCCTCTAGAGGATTCTGTATGTGCTGAAAGTTGAAAGTCCTGAGCTGGGTCATTGTCTCTCCAAAAGCCTCTGTTTAAATGCAGATGTTAAATGGCAGTTCAATTTTTAACTTTTTGAGAAAACACCATACTGTTCCCCACAGCGGCTGCACCAGTCTGCATTCCCACCAGCAGTGCACTAGGGTCCCCTTTTCTCTACACCCTCGCCAACACTTGTTGTTGGATGATTTGTTGATGGCGGCCATTCTGGCAGGTGTGAGGTGATACCTCATAGTCATTTTAATTGGCATCTCTCTGATGACTAGTGACGTTGAGCATATTTTTGTATGTCTCTTGGCCATTTGTATGTCCTGTTTGGAGAGGTGTCTATTTAGGTCCTCTGCCCATTTTTTAATTGGGTTCTTTGTCTCCCTTTTGTTGAGTTGTATGAGCACTCTATATATTTTGGAGATTAACCCCTTATCTGATGTATAATTGGAAATTATGCTTTCCCTTATAATGGGTTCTCTTTCCACTTTGATGCTTGTTTCTTTTGCTGTACAGAAGCTTTTTAATTTGATGTAGTCTCATGTATTGAAAGAATATATGTACTCCTATGTTCATAGCAGCACTATTTACATTTGCTAAGATCAGGAAACAGCCCAAGTGTCCATCAGTAGATGAGTGGATAAAAAAGCTGTGGTACATGTACACAATGGAATACTATGCAGCTGTAAGAAAGAACGATCTTTTATCCTTTGAGACAACATGGAAGGACCTGGAAAGAATTATACTAAGTGAAATAAGCTAATCAGAGAAAAACAAGTATCACATGATCTCATGTATTTGTGAAATATAATAAACAAAATAAGGTGATGAAAAAAATAGATATAGAAGTAGGGTTCAGACTGACAAACTTCAGAGAAGGGGATGGGGGTGGGGGGAGATAAACCAAATATCTTATGCATATAAGCATAACCAGTGGACATAAACAACAATGCTGGGGGTGGGGTGGGGGGATGGGCGGAGGGTGTCCAAGTAAGCAGAGGTCGTGTATGGGTATGTGTGTGGTATAAGGCCATTCCCAGATGGTCTCCCTCCCATAGGCTAGCCTTCTGCACCAGAGTGTGGAGAGGAAAGAATTTCTCTCTTTTTGTTCCACGATTTTAGCAAAACAAAAGGAAAGCCACCAGGATACTACTCTGTACAGCCCAACTCTTGACTCCACAGGCTGGCCTGTCCCCAGATGGGCCTGTTCTATTCCTCTGCAGAAACAGCAGCATGTATGACTCTGGCACATTTGCTGATCGTGTGTGTTCATCCTGTGCCCCCTGTTTGGGCATGCAGCAGACACTTAGGTGGTTGGCAGGGTGCATTTCCAGAAAAGTCCACTGAGGCCTTTGTGCCATCCATGGCAGATTCCTGCCTATGCCAGCCACATCTGTGTTAACACCCATTCATGCAAGACATTCAACCCCCTCTCTGTCCAGTTTGCTCTGAAAATGAGTCTGAAGCTGAGGCTGACCAGCAGATGGACAACCTGTACCTGAAGGCCTTGGAGGGTTTCATTGCCGTGGTGACCCAAGACGGTGACATGATCTTTCTGTCGGAGAACATCAGCAAGTTCATGGGACTCACACAGGTGACCACCCTCCTCTGGCTCTTTCAAAAAGGGAAAATGTTTCTATTTGGGGGTATAAATTAGTGGAGGGTTCTGATCACATCTCTCCTGACCCCTCCTTACATGTACCCACCCTGCCCACTCTCTGATCCCAGACCACAGCCTCAGGACACTCCCCGGCACTGGGTTTGGCATTGCTGATGGCTGTTCTGGTAGACAGCTCTGCTCGTTAGGTTAACAGGCCAGCCCTTGGGAATCAAGTCTCTGACACCAATGGCAGTCTTGTCACCTCGTCGGTCTGTGAACCTAACACTGAATTGGGAATATGAGAAAAACTGATTCAGTCCCTTCCCTGTTTCCAAATCTAGAAGGGGGCTGAGCTTCCTCTTAGAATATTCTACTCCAACGTTAGGAATAATGAAGTCCAACCTTGTTTTTGAAACAGGTGGAGCTAACAGGACACAGTATCTTTGACTTTACTCATCCCTGTGACCATGATGAGATCCGTGAGAACCTGAGTTTCAAAGATGGTAACGTATTCTCTATTGTATGTTTCCTTCCTTTGTGTGCCACCTGGGAGGGGATCTGTATTCCCTTGTAGATGGTGTAAGAGAGATGGCTCCTGAGTATCATGACCCAGAAGCTGACGAGCCTGTGAGATGGGTTTGAGGGCACCGAAAGGACCTAGTACTCAGAAACATCCTCGGCCCTGCAGGGCGCCCGACACCACACTATTGGGGCACTCCTTTGGGTTCAGACAGTGTCCCCAGGAGGTTTCATCACCTGGAGTCCAACCAAATATGACACCCAAACCAGTAAACTCATCTGTAGCAAAGTGTGCATGGGAACTGTTGCCGCTGTCTATTGCTAGGTAACAAGCCACCCAAAATGTAATGGTTTCAGTGATCACCCTGCCACCTCTCACAGTTCGTGGGTTCCGTGAGCAGTTGTTTGCTCCATGTCCCATCAGCTAGCTGCCATCATCCGGGGCTGGACTAGGGGGGATGGGCGAGATGGCTCACCCACACCTCTGGGACAGTGTGGCTGTGGGCATCTGTCTCACCCCACGGAGTCTCGGAGCCTCTCTCTCTCCACCAGGGTCTCCAAGGTAGCTGGCCTTCTTCCATGGCAGCTCAGGGCTCCCTGAAGTGCAAAAGTGGACGCTGCCAGGCCTTCCCAGGGCTGTGCTGAAGCTGACACAGCATCACGCTGCCCCATTCTGTTGGGTAGAGCGAGTTACAGTCTAGCCCTGGTCAGCGTGTGGGGAACTACACGGGCAGTGAATATCAGGAGGCTGGCTCATTGGGGCCACCTTTGGACATTAGCTACCCCTGGAGCCAAAGACTAAATCTGGTCCCCTGTGGAGACACAGGACAGGTAGTTTTTGAGGGAGAAGAAATTTAAAAGGTCTAGTATACTGCACCCTACCTGTGGGACATCCAGTAAATGCTGGTGGGAGGAGGGCCCATACAAGCAGAAAGCACTTGGCAATAACAGTTGGAGTTGCTGCTTTATCTCATATATAAACGGGGACATTCAAGCAAATATATGAATGGAGATATTCTCAAGAGGACTGAGGCTTTGGACAGAAGGGGGACTCAGTGACTTTCAATGTCCCTTCTAATCCTGACATTGATCACTGCCCTGAACAGATTCTGCCCACGTCTAAACAGCCCCTGTAACATCTCACCTGTCACTGACATGATGCATGCTTGCCAACCTGCATAACAGGCAGGGTGCTAAGCTTGCAGGGTTTGGCTGTTGTTACCGTACACACTGTTAAAGCAGACATTTCGTTGGCCCACATGCACCCTTGTTACAGACTGAGCTTGCAGCCCGGGCCCACTGACTCCCATACGGCCCCTCTGCTCTCCACGGAGGCCTCGGACCACCTCGCTCCTGGAGCACAGTCTGGAGAGCACGCCATGGGCTCTTTAGTATCTTATCTGAGCTGCCGAGAAAGTCCTGTCTGCTACTCTGGGGAAGGGGCTGCCAGACTTTTGATCCCTTTCTAAAGCAGGTGTTTGAAGCCTGACAAAACCAAAGCCTCTTACCTCTTCTCTGCTCCAGAAACCTTTTCGTCCTTGGGTTCTCAGTCTCAGTTCAATCACTGACCCTCGTCTCAGTCCGACCATGTGACCTGACCCAAGTCACTTCATTGCTCGGTTCCTTGGAGTCTTTCTTTTCAAATTGACAGCACTGAACCAGGCAAAGTCTAGGACCTTCCGGCTCTCCAGTGCCATGATTCACAGCACGACCCTGGTCTATTTATCGGAGTAAACTTTAGGTCTCTTGGTCCATGTATCAAGGACTTGGGATCAGACTCAACAAATCAGCAAGCAGATCCGTATTGAAGGTGCCGACCTGAGTGAACTAATCTGGAGGCAGCGGGTTAATGTGAGCACCTGGAGGAAGATAAGACCAGGAGGCAGATTGTGAAGGCCAGGCGGAGGGCCTCGAACTTTATCCTGTAGACAGAGGGGAGCTGTTGGCGGTTTTTGAGCAGGGGTGGAGTAATCTGATTGGAGCTATGTTCAGAAAGATTAATCAAATGACAGAATGGCAAGAATCCAGAGGCCAACAAGTTAGGCGGCCATGACAGTCATAACCCAGGCTACAGCCACACTCATCTCCAATGCGAGCTGGTCCTGGTGGTGGGTCCAGGGCCCAAGACACAGGACTATCTTGTGATATGCCAACCCCACCTATGAAAATTAAAATTGCAAGAAACATTATTAGGTATGGAAGGCATGGTTTTATTATCATGATGGAGGAATATTTTTTCTTAAAAAAAAAACAACAATCCCCCGGTTCTGTCCATTACTTAGTGGGCTTTCCTAGGGATGTCTAAGATAGATTGAAAGGTGACACGATTCACTGACACAAAGATCTTTGGGGATAGGACCGTCAAATAAATACAGCCCTCTGCAGGTAGGGGCAGAGGCTGCTGGCCGTGCCTGGAGGGAGGGGTGTGAGCATCTGAAACAAGGCTCTAGGTTGTTTTCAGATGCTGGGCAGGGGCAGGCGTGTGCCTTGGGAGACCCAGGTGGGGATGGTGGCTTAGGCAGCATTTAGACTTGGACGAGGGGACTCAGCTGGCACTTACTGCATTTATCACTTTGTTTTGCAGAAAGTGGAGAAAGTTCTGAAGGGGCAGGCTACTTGGAGACTGTAAGGAAGGAAGCTATTTGTTTGTCTTGGTGATTTATTTAATTCTGGCTGAGAAAGGATATCCATGTTGAGTTCATTCTCAGAATGGACTTGCTCACCAAATCCCAGGAGATTTGTACCAGAAGTCTGTCTCAAGCTTGACATATGTCACGTTAGGGAGAAAGCTGATGGCACACTATCCCAAATGCAGCCACCACTGGTTGAAACCAGGGCAGGGTTCAAGTTCCCGTGGGACGGGAATGCGGAAAGGACAGGAGCATCTGAGGGACATTTCTAAGCTGAGAGGCTTACGCCTTGGAGCACTGGTGGTCTTACCTAGACTGTCCCTTGGAAGTCCTCCTAGGGAAGCTGGACCTGCCCCAGCAGAGATTTGCTGAGATGGTGGCTAATGGTCACTCCTTGCCTCGCTGCTCCGAAGGGAGCACCAACCACGTGCAATGAGAGAACAGCGTCACCCCCTACGCCGCAGGGTTAGATCCAGGTGGGGGCAAGCTGGCGATGGACAGCCCCCGTCCACAGGCCAGGTGGGGCCCGGCATGCACAGCAGCTGCAGTGCCGGGAGGCGGATTTGTGGGAAACACGAACACCCGCACAGGCAGCACTGCAGCTGGGCCCCTCTTCTGTATGTAAATGAAAACGAAATTCAGCGGGTTCTCTCCACCCTTCCTCCCCAGGCTCTGGATATGGGAAGAAAAGCAAAGACATGTCCACGGACCGGGACTTCTTCATGAGGATGAAGTGCACTGTCACCAACAGAGGCCGCACCGTCAACCTCAAGTCAGCCACCTGGAAGGTAGGGCGACACCAGGCATGGGTTGGAGCCCCAGGTGTGCCCCGCCCGCTGCTCGCAGCCCGCGTGTGACCCCCGTGCTGCTCTCCAGGTCTTGCACTGCACCGGCCAGGTGAAGGTCTACAACAACTGCCCCCCTCACGGTGCTCTCTGCGGCTACAAGGAGCCCCTGCTGTCCTGCCTCATCATCATGTGTGAGCCCATCCAGCACCCGTCCCACATGGAAATCCCCCTGGACAGCAAGACCTTCCTGAGCCGCCACAGCATGGACATGAAGTTCACCTACTGCGATGACAAGTAGGGTCCTGGGGTGTGTGCTGTGTGTGTGTGTCTTACGCGTGTGTGTGTGTGTTAGCTGTGCCTGGGATAAAGGTATGGGTGTGGGGTACACACGTGGGTGGTATTGCTGGGTGCAAGCTTGTGGGCCTGTGTTGCCGTTTCGGTCCATGCACACAGCTAAGGGATTCCTGATACCTTCTTTAGCTGCTCCCCACTGATGCGGCGTCAGGTCTGAGTGCAGAGCTGTTCTGGTGTGTGGCTCTGTTGTCACTGTTGATCGTTGTGATGCGTGCGTCCCTCCACCTACATGTCAGGCTCCTGAGGAAACTTCCAAGCCTGTCTGCTTCGCCAGGAGATGCGTGGCAGGAGATGTCCATCAGCACTTCCAATGTGGACGCCAGCTGGGGGCTCGGGCTCCGGCCGGGGACACTGCCCCACGCTGCCTGGTGTACATGCCTTCTCTTCCACAGCCGAGCCCTTCCCTCGGTCTCTCCTCCTGTGTCACCTCTGTTCTGGCTACTGCCCAACCTCATTTTGAAGGCTTTTCTGCGAGGAGACCTAAGTGACACTCTAACCCCAAAGCCAGGCCCAACTGGGAATTCTCTTTGATTAAGCACATCGACTCTGGGATGAAATGGCCCAGATCCAAATCCAGTAGGAAACACTTGGGGCTTGGTCGCTCTATTCACGTTGTCAGGAGAGTACCTAAGACTGCACGTGCGCATCGTGGAGCCCCAGGCTTAGCTCGGGGGGATGCTGGAACAGGTGGAGAGGCTGGGTGTTGAGGGAGGCCTGGGAGAGGGTGTTCAAGCCGCATGGGAGTCCCGCTGGCCCCAGTGCCTCACCTCTGCCCCATGTGCGCCCTGGCCTAGGGGGAATCAGAAACCAGGAGGAAGACAGGGGAGACTAGATGGCCATGAGCAATGACCACCATCAAGAAGAAAGGAGCAGCGACTGGCCTGGGCAGGCCTGCGTCATGTGGATGCACCATTCATACTGATCGGTGCAGAGGTGCCCGCAGGGATCTCTCAAGCCACCTCAGCTTTCTGAAGCAGCCAGAGTCACCATTTCTCCCCAGAATCAGTTTCCGTGGTAACTCTTCACCACTAGGGTTTCTCAGCAAACCCTGACATCTTAGCTACCACTCCAGGGCAATTGAAGAATGTTTGTGACAGTATCCTTGAGTCCTTCCTGTCCCCCAGTTCTGACCACCGTGGTGCCAGGACTCAGGGCTCTTGGGGGCAGTGGGTGTGATGTAAGGAGAAAGAAGTGCTCTAACTCAGGGAGAAAGTGTCACAGATGAAGACGTTTGCCCTGGAACTGACGCCAGCATTAATGACAGGTGTTGGTACCGTTACTGCTGTAATGACCATGATGATTAGAGGGAAGACTGCTCCAAAGGCAGGCACCAGAGAAATCCGTGTGTGGGGCAGGTTCTTTATCAGATGCAGTCTTTGTATTCAAATGAACATTGTTGGCAGAAGACAGTTTTGTCAAGTGCACCCCCCGGTGTAGTCTCCCGAGGTGACGAGGGAACCCCCGCCCCCCACTGCAGAGCCCCGTCTGGCTTCAGAGGGAGCTGGTGCCCAGTGCGTCGGCCCCACAGCTGGGGAGCAGCTACCGTGCTGTGGACAGGGAAGGCTGTGTGTGGCCCGTGAGGGCAGCGCCCCTCTGTGTCCCCCACACGCACGGGGAGAGCCCTCCTGTCCAAGAGAATAACTTGTCATTCCTAGGTCACAGAAAAGGGGAATTTTTTTTTTTAAGCTTAGGACTGTTGTTACAGTGAAGGAAATAATCCTCTGGAAAGGGTAATTCGAAGTTATTCTTTATTCATTATCTTGTTTTGAATGCGTTTCAGGTCATTTCCTAAAAGCAACCGACCTTTGGATAAAAGAGGAGGAAAAAACCATGAGGAACTGGGGGCTGGAGTGGTGGAGAGGAAGGGGGCGCAGAGGGGGCGAGTCTACTGTCACTGGAGCGGTTCGGGCTGGCGGGTGGAGTCGCGCCCGGAGGGAATCTGGAGCAGGGTGTGTGAGTCGGGGGAGCGGGGGACACTGCGGGGTTCTGCTGGGCACACTGCACCGAAGCAAACCTTGTCTTTCCCGAAGCCTAGTCCATGGCCCGCACTCTGAACCAGAGGGGCCAGGAGATGGGAGCAGAGGTGTCTGGAGGCAGCGTGCTGCACTACACAGCAGGTGTGGCCACCGAAAGCAGATTAGTTAACAAGGGCACAGACATGGCTTAGGCCATTTATAAAGTGACTGTTTTAAGTCCTTAATCTCTAAGTGTTATTTCTGGATTGCTTTGATGAGGACTAGTATTTTTTAGTTTTCGTAGCTTGTTTTATTTTCAGTTTGTATTGGGATGGGGAAAAAAACATATTCAGTCTCATATTCTCTCTCTCTCTCTCTCTCTCTCTCTCTCTCTCTCTCTCTCTCTCCTCTCTCTCATATTCTCCTTAATAACTTTCTGAGATCAATGTTTCAAAAACCAGCCCTTGCATATGGTAGCTAATTGGGGGAAGGAGGATTTCCATTTTAATCATGGAATTCACTGGATTTAATAACATCTCACACACATGAAGGACTATGACTTCCCACAAAGGGAATTATTTTGCAGTAAGGAAAATTAGAATCTGATGAAAACGTAAGGCAATAGAATCCACAAAATCACTTTTCAGATCATTTGGTACTTTTTCTTAGATGCATTGAGATCACAGACATAATCAACAAATAAAAAAAGGGTCATGGAGAAATAAAGAAGGGAGAACTGAGAGGAAGAAGGGGAGAGAAATAAGAAAGAAAGAGGACTTGAATCATGTGCTTAACTCTCAGGTTTCCAAAATCAGTCAACCAGAAATCACCTGACACATCGGAAACGTGACATTGAGAGAAGGGATGCAGATGGGCCATAGACACGTGCCCCGGTCCTTTGAATAAGGGGTCTGGGACTATATCAAGTCCTGTATGAATTATGTGGAACACAGTAAACTTTTCGAAAGTGAATTCTGTAACAATGTATATGTTAATCCCATTTATGTGTATATGGCCGACTGCTCTAGACTGGGAAAGTCAGGTTGAGTAACAAGATCAAGGAAGAAGAATGTCCCAGTTATTAGTGTAATTGATGATCTCATCTTCATTTATAGTGTTTCCTAAAATACTGAGCGACCAATTAATGAACTCATATTTACTGATCATCTGCTCTGCATGTAACCCTGCACCACAGACTTTTATGTTAAAGAAGTAAAAGAGATTGTTCCTGATCCCACAGAGTTTAGTTTGCTACAGGAGAAACTTAATGAAACAGTGAACTGGACAAAATAGAGCATTCCATTCACCCAAAAGGAAGATAAACTGCTTCCCAAGTAGTCAAACTTGAAAATGGGGTGCTTCTTCAATTCAGGTGGAGGTGCCATCTAGTGGCGAAAGAGAATAACTGTGAAGGAAGCCAAGCCGTCAAGGAGGGCACAGCAAAAATCTACATTTTACATTAATTCCACTGTAATTCTTGTCAGTTTTATGAGTCTTCCTGTACCTTAGAAGTAAATTATGGGGATATGATCAGTATTTCTGGGGGTAGGCATCAAAATTACAGTAAAAATGTGAAATTAACAAAGAGGGTTATGTAAATCTTTATAGGCAAAGAATTTGAGGGCAATTCTGTTTTGTTATTAAATTAAGGCAGCACAGTGCATAATAATATGAGGCTTAACAAGTTCAATAAGTTAAGATGCCTGCATTTCAAATTCTGTGGATCAAATTTATGACTTTTTTAATACAAAGAAGTGAGAATAGCAAAGATGATAATAGAATAATACAGAGAATGTCAATGAAGAAAAGTATAAAGAGCCATGAGTTATAAAATAGATACACATCAAAACACCTGGAAGGCTGCTGACTCAGGCAGATTAATAGTAAAAAATTATATACTTTCATGCATATTAAAATGCATTTAATAGTTTTGTTTTGTTTTCCTTTTTTTAGAGGATGGGTAGCACCTTCAAATTCAAGGTGATCTTTCAGATTAATCCATCACATGTAATGTTTTTAGTTTAATATATAGTCTATTCTAAATATTTTGCCTATTCTCTAATTACCCTTTCTCTACACATCTTATGCAAGAGGATATGATGCTGTTTCTTTAAATCCCTGAGTTAGGAGAAACTTTAAATGCTCCCATTGTGCACCTGTGCCTCCTGCAAATGCCCGCGCCTGAGGTCAGCCGCAGAGTCTGAGCATATCTATGAGAAATGCTTACATACTGTCCTGCTCAATCTAGTCTTGAGACCCTCCCCGAAAGGGGCAGCTCTACAGATTCTCTTTGGAATTTATATCAACGTTTACTAGACCTCATAATTCAAAAGGTATTCTTTCTCCATGATCCGGTTCTCTCCTGCTCCAGTTTAAGGCAAACGTCCTCCACCTGTGTGTGCGTTCCCAGGCAGTTAGGGGCAGCCATGGCAGTTGGTGGCACTCAGAGCAGGGTCAATCCAGGACTGAGCCGGGGCGACCTTCCTGTGAATAAGTGAACCCGGCCCTTAACACCTCGCACAGGATGGGAGCTGATTACCCATGAACCATCCAGCTGGTTGCACAGATTTCACATAATCGTGTAATATTTGAGGAAAGCGCAAGGTTAAACGTGCCAAACAAACGAAATCTAGATGAAAGCATATTAAAACGGAAGACACTGAAATCTGAGTTAGTGATAGTCTGGATATTAGGAAATGCAGTTTCAAAGCTGATATACCATCTAAAAACCAAAATGAGGCGAATCAGGTGTCACCTAGGAGAGGCCATCGCCAGAGGGTGAGTGGAAGGAAAGAAAGCAGACTTTAATAGAAGTGTGATTTATTAGCAAATGCATTCTTTGGAAAACACATAGGTGGTTAGAAAGTACTTAAAACTTTTATCCTCTTTTTTCCCCTCTCCTGAGGACATTTTGCGTTTATCTTCAGATAGAGCGGGAGGGAGAGAGGGATGATGAGAGAGAGACATCAATGTGTCACATCGACTGGCTGCCATCCACACGGGGACAAACTGCAACCTTAGCAGGAACCGAACCCGGGACTCTCTGGTCTGTGGTCCAATGTTCCAACCGCTGAGCCAAACCGGCCAGGGCTTTTTATCCTCTTTAACAGTTTAAATACCCTAACCCATCTTGCTTACTCAGCAAATCCTTTACTCCTGTGGGGAACAGGGGTAAAAACTGCAGCCAGACCTCCTCTGACTCCAGGCAGTGGCTTCTGAAGTCAGGGACTTGCTGTGCCCCACAGGGACTGGCACTTGGCGGGGCCACTGGGAAGAGGAGCAGCCCCCTCAGTCCCGCCCGGATTCCTCCTGCCTCTCGAGTGACCACCCTGACACGGCAGCCGAGAGAGTCGTTTCTTCCCAGCTCTGGGTCACAGGCCGCCCGTGTGAAGAGAGCCTCTGACCACTTGTAGGGTAAAGAACCCCTGCAGGGCAGCATTGCGAAGGCAGCTCTGACTCAAATCCAGCCCCTGGTGGTCTAATCGCAGCATTTAACAAGTGTTTTTCCTCTGTGTTCTCGTGTCCTTCCTTCTTCCTGGGTCTCCTGTGGCTGCCAATGTCTACATCTCCTTCCCCATCTCATTCCTGCTCTGTTTCTTCTTCCGCTTTATTATTAAAGAGTGATCTCTGTTCTCATTTCTGAAATCTGGTGGGTTGAGCCCTTTTACATTTCCTTCTCTGAAAACAGAACAGCCCTACTGAGTCTACTTTTTAAATTTATGGGTGACTCCAAGCTGATTTTCCCCCCAGTGAGTCAAAGGCTGTTAATTAAAAAGAAAGAAAAAAAGTGTCCCTGCCGCCGGTGGAGAGAGCAGATGAAACTGTGTTATCACAGCCCAGCTCCGGAGGCTTCTCGGGGCCCAGGGAAATGAGCAGGGAAGGCCCCTGGGCCGCTGTAGCTGACCCTATAAACAAGCTGGTTCGTTAACCTCCCCTGGCGTCTGCACGCCTGCGGAGGGAGGCGAATGACCATTAGCTTGAAGTCAGGGTTTCCTGGCTTTGTGCAGCCCGACAACTTGAATGCAGTGTGCGCATTTCCCAGTTTTTACAGTCTGTTTAAAGGAATAAAGGAGGAGACATTAAATATTTATTTTAGTTGACAAGATAAATGAAGGCTGCTACTGGGAAGATAGCTGGCAGTTCTGAAATTGAGGATTGTTTGTCCACTTCCCAAACATGCCCATTGTGTGCCTCTGAATGGATGGCACATTAATTACATTAAACATTTTATTATGACGCTGATGGTAACAAACATTTGCTTTGAACATTTTAATTTAAAGATTCTAATCTTGAAAGAACATTGGAGCTCTTCAGGGAGTGGAATCAAATCCGTCCCAGAATAGCCTCAGTTTTGAGAGTCTCCCTAAAATGCTAGACCTGTCTGGGAAAAGCAGCAGCTCACCAGGCAAATCTGGGAGCCTGTGGAGTCAGCCCGTTGTCGGCAGGGCCCCCCAGTACAATCCCGATTCCCAGGTGAGGCTAGAAAGGCACTGGACCCAACAGAAGAGATTTGGTGTAGAAAAGGAAGGGCCAGCGCTGTTCTGCTGTCTCCTTGCTCTCCAGTCTCCCCCTCGGCCAAGGTGCCACTGGGCACCAGCCCCGGATCAGGGTGCGAGGAACATGTCCATTGCTGACAACTTCCGAGACTGTCTGCTCAAGGCCGAGTGAGGGGCATATCCTCCTGGTCTGAGACCAGCTGGCTGGTGCAAGTGAGCTCCTGGAATCTCACTGGAGAAATCTCCACTGGGCTGAATCAGCTGAGCCCTAAGCTTCTCAGCCTCTCGGGCTGTCCCTTGTTTGACAAAGGCTTTATCCCCAAGTCTCACCTCGGCGAGGACTTGCCTCTTCTCTGCCCACACTGGCAGCAGACACACCTTCCAGGATGAAGGGCGGGTTGAGTAGCATGAGGGTTCCTGCCGAGGGCTGTGTGCGCACCAGCACGCATTGAGGCAGTGTGTCGTGTTCTAGAAGGAAAAGTAGAGAATTGGTGCCGATTCCGTAGCAGTGCTGGGACAGACAGGGCTGATGGTACCTCACGTCCTAAAAGAGAATTACCCCCTTATCAGCTACTCAAGTACATGCCCATGTAGGGGAGAAGAGGGTCCCTGAGTTCAGGGGTTGACAGCCTAGGTGGGATGCGGAGAGACAAATACGTAGCTCTGTGGCGTTAGGGCCTCCACGAGGAGACCCTGGAGAGGGCGCCACGGAGAGGTCGAGGCCTTGAGCTGCAGGTAGAGAAGGGGCGGGGGGAGCAGGCATCAAGGTCCTGCAGCAAGAATGAGTTCGCCAGGTGTGGGGAGCTGTGCAGAGAGGGGTCCCCCAAGGCAGAGGGTACAAGATAATGCTGACGGTTACTTGAAAATAAAATTGCTTAGGAGATGGAGACTAGATTCTGGAGGGACTTGGAAGTTAGGCAGAGTTTATTTACTCCTGATATAGTTGGAAATAGGGACATCTGCAGATGCTTAAATAGGGGAGTGGGAGGATGGAGCTAATTTTTATGATGATTTATTCTGAGAGAGGTATGCAAACCCCTTCGGCGGGGAGGAGCAGAAACACGGCTTCTGTTTTCCTCTTCATATTATTTTTTGTTTTGTTTTAAATTTTTTTCTTTATTGATTTTTAGAGAGAGAAGAAGGGAGAGGGAGAGGGAAACATTGATGAGAGAGAACATCGATTGGCTACCTCCTGTATGCTCCCCCCGCCCCCAGGGATTGGGCCCAAACCTGGGCATGTGCCCTGACCGGGAATCGAACTGGCGACCTCTTGGTGCATGGGTGGATGCTTAACCACGGAGCCATACCGGCTGGGCAGTCCTCTTCATATTATTAATCTCCAACATAGATGATAAATGATAAGCCAGACCTAAAAGCCATGCATTCTGAAATAGGGCTTGGAATGATGAGAACAGCATCACTTCTAACCTGTGACAGGCCACGTTAATGAGGCAATGCGCGCATTAGAATAAAATGTGTGAGATAACAAAGATTACAAAAAAATCTTTAGGTGTGATGTGGGGATGTGGCTAGTTTGGTGGTTCTTGGGCAGGGCTGGTTTATTTTAACCACTCCAGCACAAAGGGTCCTTGGAGTGTTAGTGATTCTTCATGGTTCTCCATACTTGCCTTTTCTCAACCACCTTCCATCAAAAACAGACCTTACAGGAGGAGGCAGGGCACAGTTAGGACAGCCAGTCCCTGTCGCTTCAGAGCTGCTCTTGTTGGAGAATGCAACAAGGAGACCTGTTTCTCTGGCTATGACTTTATATTTCCTCCTCTCAGTACCTCCTGCCCTCCTTCCTTACCTTGAGATAGGGAAAAGGAGAAGCACCCATGGAAGGCAGACCCCACGTCCAAAAGGAATCTGAGGTCACCGGGCAGGACATGAGAAGCACCCACTGGAGTGGACCTTTAAGCACAGCTGGGATTCTCCTGCCCCCAGTTCTTCTTCACTCTGGTTCACGCACCAACAAAGGTCATCTCCATGCTTTCCCCACTGGGGGCCACATAATTTTCACTTCTCGTTTATATCACCCTCTACTAGAATGAGCACGATCTAGTAATCAGGAGGCCCAGCTTTTCATTCTTGCTCTGTCCCTGGACACGTGTGGAATCAGCAAATTGTCTGTGGCCCCTGGATCTCTACTCCGTCATCTGCAGAAATGAGGGGGTGGAGAGCCCTCATTGGTTGCTGGAGACTAGGCACATGTGTGTGTTAGGGAGTCCCCTGAGCATCTGCTTTTCCTTTCCTCCCCAAATATGACTTCAGGAAGGGCAGGAGTGGAGGTTGGGTGGCCCAACAGCTCAGGTTGACCGTTTTTTGTGTGCGTGAATGGTGTGACCAGGAAGCCAGTAGTGTTTTCATCTGCATGTGTGAATTTGGTTTACCTTTTGTACTGAGCTCCTTGAGCCCCTGCCCACATTCATCTAGTTTCTCTTCCCCACATGCTTTTTTTTTTTTTTTTTTTTTTAATTCAGAATCAAAGATCTGATTGGTTACCACCCAGAGGAGCTGCTGGGCCGTTCAGCCTATGAGTTCTACCATGCACTGGACTCCGAGAACATGACCAAAAGTCACCAGAACTGTAAGTTCCTGGAGTGCCCTGTGTGGCTCCCTGTGTCTGTGGATCTGTGGAGTTGGCCTTGAGTGGCGCGGCTGGTGGGATAGGAGAGGATGCCGTCACTTCCCTCACCGAGCACTGTCTCCTGCAGCAGAAAGACTCACACCCTTAGGGCAGTTAGAGAACAAAGCTGCCCCCAGCCTATGTGACACCTGCATGCAAATTAGAACAAGGGCCCTTCCTGCAGGGGGACACACCCACATCAAGCCATTCAGTTTGGAGAGAAAAGGTGGGCTGAACCTCAGCCTCCACTGGGCGCCCCTGCAGACCGAGTCCTCAGTCTGCACAGCCCTGCAGAGGGTGACAGCACAGCCTGGAACCACCTTGGGCTGAGTGCTGTAGGAACAAGTACATCCATTCGGAGAAGAGGAGGGCTGGGGGAGTTCAGGAGATGACAGGACCCAGGGATGAGGGAGGGAGGTTGAGGTGGGTCTTGTGTGCCCTGCCCACCAGGGTGGGTGTGATCCAGCCCCAGCCTGCCCCACTTTGAAAACTGTAGGATGTGGTTTCAGCCTTCACCTTGGGTTCCCCATGCTCTTCTGGTCTGTGAGTGTCCCTGGCCCTTCCCTCCCATAGACGTGAAATTGGGGGAAGTCCAGCTTTGCTCATCAGCCAAGGGTGAGGTCAAAGCAGAGGACAAACATAAAAGTTTCTGGGAATTCTTGGTGGACAGTCTTATACTTTCTCTTCTGGGTAGGAAAGTAGAGGAAAGAAACTACTGTCCAAGGGAACAAAACTGAGGACTTCCACAGGCATGTAAGAAGGATTTTTTTTTTACCTTCTCAGAAAAGCTTTGATTCATAAAAATGAGCTGAGATAAACATTTGTCACATCAGTTTTCTGCTGACTCTAGGGAAAATATGGTCCTTTTTATTGAATCTGTATATTTAAGCATTAGGCACACTTAAAGGTAATTCACAGCCCAAATGGAAATCATAGCTTCCTTCTTCCCCGGGCAAGGTGCTCTGAGCCCCGAGGCCTGAGCCCAGAAACCTGTGCCCGCAGGCCTGCACCGGCCAGCAAGCCCAAATCTGGCAAAGGAAATCTGCGTGGGTTAGAAATTTGGTTAATACTGGCTGCAAAAAAAAAAAAAAAATCAATCTCAATCTCTCCCCCTCCCCCCTCCCTCCCTCTCAATGGGTTCGTGCAAATACAGCTGCACCCGGCCCACACTCACGCTGTGAAACAGCTGGAGGCCCAGGTGTGAGGCTGGTTCACACTGACACACCAGCATCCCGACCTTCCGCACGTATGTCTTAGCCTGTGAACATTCACCGCTGAAATTGCTGGGGAAGCTCAGCCCTCAAACCAGATTCAGATAATTGAAAGCCATCATTTCCAAATGGATTAGTAATTTATACATTGTTCTCAGAGGGGAGGGTTGGGGGGTGGTTTCTCTTTGTTGTGTGAGGACATTATGTGCTCTTAGGAAAACAAGATTAAAGGTCATAAAAAGCCTATCTACCAAGTAGCAGACCCCTCACCAAGGCTGGCATTAATGAGCAGATGATTAGAAGGCAGGCGTAATTATATTCTACTGACAGAGCAGGCCCTCGCCTGCAATCGCTAGAAATGCAGTTAAAACCTTTGCTTGCTGCACTGTTTAATCAAGAATAAGAGCTCTGAATTTTGTCTGCATTAAGAACCGTCTAAATAAGTTAACTCTCGTCACTTGAAATTGTGCAAGAATCATTTTGCTGCAGCAGGGGAGCCTTCGTGGCTCAGCTAAGGTGAAATCAGGGAGGACAGAAGTTATGTCTTCCGTCAAAGAGCCCGTGATGGTTCAGGATGGGGATCAGCAAACTCAGTGTTCCCAGAGGATGGTGGCTTAGGAGAGTGCTGGACACGGAGGCCCAAGGAGGCCCAAGACCACACCTAGTCCAGACTGAGTCGCTTTTGTCCCAGGTGATGTTAAGCAGGTCACAATCCTTCTGGCCTTAGTTTCCTCATATTAAAAGATGATCTCTATCTTCCCTATAACACAGGATTTTTTAAAAAAGACTAGGATGATACAAGCACTTTGGAAAATAATTTGGCAGCTTATAAAGTCAGTGTATATTTAGCATATGACCCAGCCATTACACCTCTAGATACACCCATGAGAAATGAAAAGTATGTCCATACAAAGATTTGTACACAAATGTTTATAGCTACTGTATTCATAATAACTGAACACTGAAAACAACTCACACATCCGTTGACAGGTGAATGGATAAACTAATTATGGTGCATCCATACAATGGAACACTGCTCAGTAATGAAAAGGAACAAACCCCAAATATCTGCAACAGTATGAGGAATCTTCTTTGCTGAGTGCAAAGAAGCCAGACCCAAAAGAGTCCATACTCGTGTATGATTCCACTTATATGAAAGTAGAGAATATTTCAATATTTCATGGCAGAAAACACATCAGGGGTTGCCTGGGACCAGGGAGGGGAATGGGGATTGACTGTCAAGAGGCACAAAGATTTTTTTTGATTAGGGGGATGATGGGAAAGTCACCATGCCTGTGATTGTGGTGATAATTACAAGAGTGTGTACATTTGTCAAAACTCATTGAACTGTATGCTTAAATGGGTGCATTTTTTAAATTAAAGGTGAATTAAACCTCACTGAAGTAGATTTTATACAAAAACAAGCTTAGACTAGGAGTCTTTCATTTGGGCTATAATCTTGTCTACTGTTTCCACTGAGGGGGCCTTTTAGCAAATCACTCAATAGTTCCAAGTTTTAGTTTCTTCGGATATAAAACAGGAATAGTAATAGATACCCATGGTGTTGCTCTATCCTAAACCAGGTGATGATGAGACTAAAAATCCTTACTGAGACTTTATGTGCCAGGCAGTGTTATAATTGCTTGCAGAAATGAATTCCTCTTATGAGATAGTTTTAAACACTGTAGAGCACTGTACACATGCAAGTTATGGTAGTTCCTGCACCTTGGAGGTGCTTGTTACGTTTTTGAAGAGGGTAACATTGCCAAGAGAAACTTAAAGGTAAAGGACGACAAGCAGCATGTGGGAACCAAGCTTCTGTCCTCAAGCACACGGGGTGGTGAGTGGGGAGGGCCCCCCGTTTCCCAGAGAATCTGGATAATTTCCCACAGGCCCTTCCAGCATTATCTCTGTCATGCCCTGTAGATGTAGCGGGGCCTGGGCCCTATTTTATGAGTAACTTCGGGAAAGAGGTAGCTTTTCCTATATAGCACTCATCAGTGACATTCAGTCCGCATTCTTGTACCTAATAAGGCAGATCCGGCCCTCAGTACAAACAGTTGTGGTAACAAATAATAATTATCATTACTATTATTTTATCATGCCCCCTTTTGCAGGTGAGGTAACCAAAACCGAGAGAGATTGTTCTTTTCCCAAAGTCCCCATGCTAGCAAGATTTCCCAATCCCTCCACCATGCCTCTTTCCAATTACCTGTGATTTGGGGGTTTCTGGAGAATGAATTCCCAAGGAATAAAAGTAATTGGGCAGTTCAGAAAACTACCAGAAATTCTAACATGAGTAGACTTCTATTTAAAGGGATTTACTCATTCCTTTTTAGTGGAGCAGACAGAACATTCTGGAGTGGGGAAGAGAAGAGCCTGGGATGTGGGACCCCTTCCCCAATGCCTTTATGCAGCAAACACAAATGTTAAATGAACATTTAGAACAGTCTGATTGGAAAGAAGTCATAACAGGGCAGCCTAGCCGGGCAGCTGGGGAGGAGGAGCGGGGAGGACTTCCCATGATTTGAAGAGGCTGAGTGTAAGTTGCTGGGGGTCCAGCCCTTCTTCAGCCCAGCCCCTTACCCCTGCCTTTGCTATGGGGCACAAACCTTGTGTGGCCCTGCGGTGGCACTGACAGGTGACCTGGATACATGAAGGATATCATTTCTTTAAAAACTGCATTTCTTCACGAGCTTAGTATTGGTGGCCGGTCTGCTACAAAGGGCTGCCCTGAGGACAAGCTTTGTCCACGCTGCTTGCAAGCACCCACCCCAAGCTGGGGCACTGGACAGAGGCTCCCCTGGTACCCCTGCGGAGCTTCCCGTCACTGAGCTCTGGGGATAAAGTAGGGCAGAACAAGTGGGTGAGTGGACTTAGCAGGGGATTGACAACAGGCCATTTCCTCGCATGGACAGCCTGGGGCAAGTTGTTTCACGCCTTGGGCCCTCCTTTCCCTGTGTTTAACATGAAGGGTGAGATGATCTCTAAACTCCAGTCTTAGGGTCTGGTGCCTAGATCTGTCCCCCCCACCACCACCACCCAGATTGCAGATTGCCCTCCAGTGAGGTCTCTACCCCCCACCTCCCTGACCTCAGCTCCCTTTCTCCTCCCCCAGTGTGCACCAAGGGTCAGGTGGTGAGTGGCCAGTACCGGATGCTGGCAAAGCATGGCGGCTACGTGTGGCTGGAGACGCAGGGGACGGTCATCTACAACCCTCGCAATCTGCAGCCCCAGTGCATCATGTGTGTGAACTATGTCCTGAGGTGAGTGTGAGGGCCGGTGGGGGATGGGTGTGTGAGGTGCCCGAGCTCCCTGGACTGAGGATGGCAGGCCCAGGGAACCCCTCCGAAGGCTCTCTGTGAGCTCTCTGCAGAGCTGATCCTGTGACCCAGAGCACGTCTGTGGATGTCTCAGGAACAAGGCCCCTTGGGATTTATCCTTTCCCTGGTCTGTCATCTATATCATGCCTCTGACCCACGTGGGGAGGCAGACAGAACAAAGTCACCACTTGATAAGTATTTTTTTGAATGAGGAAAAACTCATGTGTTTTGAGAAAAAATGATGTAACACCTTCACACCTGTAGCGCCTGGGAAGAAAGCTGGGTAGTCATTTCTACAGTGAAACCCATGTGCACTGCATAGTGTTTGATCATAAAAGAGCATCCCAGGCAGATTCGTAGCCCAAGGGCACTCTCTGGACCGCAGGCCGCCGCTTTAACCGCTGAGCCAAACTGGCCAGGGCCCAAGGGCACCCTCCATGTTGCCACCTCAACTCCAAACTTCCATTGTGTGGCTCTTTACAAAATGACGACCCAGTGTCCGCAAGCATGTGTCTGACTGAGAGGCTTGGCCATCAGGGTTTCCCTGTGTCTGGGGAGCAAAAGGATTTTGCTAGAAAATGTGGGAGTCTGAAGTGCCCTCTTGTCCCCCCAGTGAGATTGAGAAGAATGATGTGGTCTTCTCCATGGACCAGACAGAATCCCTGTTCAAGCCACACCTGGTGGCCATGAAGGGCATCTTTGACAACAGTGGCGAGGTGGCTGTGTCTGAGAAGAGCCAGTTCCTGTTCACCAAGCTGAAGGAGGAGCCGGAGGAGCTGGCCCAGCTGGCCCCCACTGCGGGAGACGTCATCATCTCCCTGGATTTCGGTGGGTGCTGCTCAGCCGAGCTGCGGGTTGTCACACCCTCTCGCAGTGGGGGAGGTTTTCACCGTAACGGCCTCCGTGGCTACAGCTTTTCCTTAACCAGAGACACTCCTGTTCCTTCCATGAGTCTCATTAATCACTTAGTGGCCAGACTCCGTGCTGGGCACAGAACGCACGCGCGGCCCCAGAGTAAGAGTGCCCTACGCTGACCTTGCTCAGTGTGGGGTGGGGCTTATGAGGACCCCCGCTGAGGGGTCATGGCTGCACCCCCTGCTCTGAGGCCACGGTCACTGTTCCACAGAGAGGGCGGAGTGCTCAACTGAAGTCATGTTTAGAGAAGTAACTCCAGAGACATGCATGGAGAAAAGACCCGGCCCAGGTTGAGCTCCCACAGGCACTACTCCTTTAGCGTGCGCCCGGCCCGGGATGTGAGTCCGTGCAGCCGCAGCGTGTTTTCAGGCCCTCCCCGCTCCCATGCTGGAAGCACCTTGATGTAACAGGGCCCTTCGTCCCCCGTGTGGGGCCCACAGCCTCACCGTGGCGGCTGCAGGCAGAGCTCCCCTGCTTGCCCTGGACCCGGGCCTCTGAGCGGTGGTCCTGGAGGCCACGTGAGGACAGCAGCTCCGGAGACGCACAGAGCAGTCCTGGGATGGGGCGTCTCATGGCCTCCGTCGTGCGTGTACCGAGGCGGACTGCCCAGCTCTCCCCTCAGCCTTCTCGTCCGCACCCTGCATGGCTCTTCGAGGAGGGCAGCCCTAGTACATGTAGTCTCTGAAAACCAAATGCTCCGGCCAGGAAGGTGTCTTGAAAGGGAGCTGTACACTGAGCAGAGCCCAGTTAAAGGCCCCTTTGTCAAGCTAAGCAACAGCGCGTCTTTGAGGGCCCAGCCCCAGGCATGATTCCAGACCCTGTGGGGGTTTCTGGTACATCCTTGGGGCTCTTTCTCTGCCCTGGGGGATAGCCCAACGATTGTGGGTGTTAACCAGACAGACCCTTGTGTCCACAGAGAACCAGAACTTTGAGGAGTCATCAGCCTATGGCAAAACCATCCTGGCCCCCAACCAGCCGTGGGCTGAGGATTTGCGGGGCCACATTGCCCAGAGCGAGGCCGGGAGCCTGCCCGCCTTCACCATGCCACAGGCGGCCACCCCGGGGAACACCAGCCCCAGTGCCACCAGCAGCAGCTGCTGCTCCACGGTGAGCCCCCCTGGAGGGAGGCCACGGAGGGGTGGGCTCCTCCTTCTGGCCACTGCTGGATGGCTGGTCAGTCTGAACAGAAATACTGCCCTCCTCCTACTCACGTTATCCTAGCGTCCCCTGCAGAGGTGGTGACATGCCTGCCAGGTATGTGAGCTGTGCTTGCTGTCAGAGTCATCCCCACCCATCTGCATGACCAGTTCCCGGAAGGCAGGGGCTCAGTTACAGTTTTGAACCCCAGCGCTGGCCCTGCTCGGGGCAGAGAGCGGCACAGTCTCCAGAGCCCCGCGGGCACGGCCTTTATCCCGTGCTCAGGACAGGCTCCTTGCATGAGGAGGCGGTTCACACGGCTCTTGGGAAGTGGCCCCTCCGCAAGTACCTGTTTGGTGGAATAGGGTTGATCTATGGGCCCAAGAATGTATCTCTCTTTCTACCTTGGACTTTGGGGAGACCAGTGTCATACTCTTGACAGTCACTCTCCTTCCTGGCCCCCAGCCCAGAAGCCCTGAAGACTACTACACGGCTCTGAGTGATGATCTGAAGATGGAGGTGATTGAGAAGCTCTTTGCCATGGATACAGAGGCGAAGGACCAGTGCAGCACCCAGGTAGGCGGCCAGGGAGAAGAGTGGGTGGGGTGCCATGCCTGCCAGCCGCGGTGGTGAAGGCTCAAGTCTGGTCGTGCAGCCTCACCCCTTTGTGGCAGAGACCAGTGGAGAGGCGAGGCCCAGACCAGGGTTCCTAACTGGGTGAGGGCGCCAAGACGTCGAGCCTGTGGAGGTCCCTGCGGCCACTTCCGCCCTCTGCTTTACCCCAGTCAAACCCCGCTCTTCTGCCTGGAACTCTCACCTTATTGATCTACTCGCTGAGCTACTTTTCTTAGTTCACATGAAAACCCAAACTATGCCCGAACCTTTCTTTAAGGAAGCCCAGCCTTTAAACAGTACATCCAGAATGAAAGTCCAGTTTATAAGCAAACTCCCTTCACAAACGTAATCATTTTAGGAGCCTTTGACATACTATTTCTTTTCAATGCACTTAAGAATGGTATTTGACTCGAGGATTTTCATTCACACTAACTTTTCAGGAAAGCATTTCTTACAGGCCAGCTGCTCTTGCAGAAACTGTGTCAACAGGGCCGAGGTGGTGGGTGGGGACATTTCACGACACCCAAAGGAAAATGGTCAATTTCCATTTGTCTTGGTCCGTTATTCGTGCAGATTTCCGCCCTGCCCCTCAGCTTGTGTCTGTCCTGCCACTTTTCCTGCTCCTCCCTCCACTCTCTACCCTCCCTCCTTTGAACTCCAGTGGGACTTATTACTTGGTACTTAATTATAACGGTCTGCTTCTGTCTTTAGCCACTTTGTTTAGTTGTGATCATTAATACGTTAAGTGGTGCACCCCCTCCCCCCAGGGAGGGTGTCATTTTCTAAAGGTAGAAACTTTTTTCTGCATCTGCTTGTGGGCTTTCCCTGGAAGCCCAGCATGATACTCGGAACCTAAGGGGCCATCTCTGAGGGCCTGCAGATTAGAATGAGAGTCACTCCCAGGCTGTCTGTCTCTGAGCAGTCCACAGCTGTACCCGTGCCGAGGGCCGGGGCTCCTGGGAAAGGGGACACAGCTGCCCTGGGCTCTTCAGGAGCCACTGTGTGCAGCACCAGCCTACATGTCCCGAGGATGGGGACGGGGCAGTCACTGCGGGCCAGAGTGGCAGGGATGGCTTCGTGGAAGAGGCGGGCGTGGCAGGCAGAGTGGAGAGCATTTTGGATTGGGTGGGCAAGGACACCAGTGTGGTGCAGAGGGATGTCCAAGTGGAGCATGGAGATGTGTGGCCCAGGCTGAAGAAGGGACAAACAGCCTGGACAGTCTGGGAGGCGGAGTTTCCTTCTGGTGGGTGACAGGGAGCCAGTAAAGGTGCTGGAGCGGGGGAGGGCCGCGGTCAAGCCGTGCCCAAGATGACCACGCGTGGCAGGGAAGGGGGCGGCTGAGATGGAATAGTGTGCAGTGGCCCCAACTGCTGAACTTGGCCTGTGCTCTGTATCTCCTCAGCTGGACTTCAACGAGCTGGACTTGGAGACCCTGGCGCCCTACATCCCCATGGATGGGGAGGACTTCCAGCTGAGTCCCATCTGCCCCGAGGAGAAGCTCCTGCCCGAGAGCCCTCAGTTCATCCCTCAGCACTGCTTCAGTACCATGTCGAACATCTTCCAGCCTCTGGCCCCTGGGGCTTCCCACGGCCCCTTCTTCCCGGACAAGTATCAGCAGCAGCTGGAAAGCAGGACCATAGAGCCCGAGCACCAGCCCATGTCCTCCATCTTTTTCGACGGTGGAAGCAAAGTGTCCCTGCCATCGTGCTGTGGCCAGGCCAGCATCCCTCTCTCTTCTTTGGGGGGAAGATTCAACACACAGTGGCCCCCTGATCCACCATTGCATTTGAGGCCCATGAAGTGGTCTGTTCGCGATCAGCATGCTGGGGCCTTGGGGGCATCACCATTGGGGCCCCCCGTCACTTCGCCCCATCTCTCCATGTTCAAGAGGTAAGTGGCAGTGACCCCTGGCAGCTTCAGCAAAAGCTGTGCTGAAAGGGAGGGAGCAGATGGACACACCCTAGGGGGAGATCTGGGGCCCAGAAACGCTTCCTGCCCATCACCAACTCCCGCTCCACGGTGGCCAAGCCTCCAGTGAACCCTTTCCTGAAGGCCCAGAGCTTAGGCTGTGGGGTCACCCCACGTCTGTGAGGGCTCGAGTGAGAATGGAGGGGACCAAGAAAGGCTGAGGACAGAAGGGAGAGATGTAGCTTGTCTAGGCCTTGAACACCAATGTCTCTCATGAGAACACCCCTAGAGTGACCTGCTCTAGTTCCTTAGCTGAGCCACAGAACACAGCTATCTGAGGGATGATTTTCTGTTCCCTCAGGGAGCCCTGTTTGGCAGCCCAGCATGGCCTTCCCAGTCTCCCAGCAGGCCCCATTTCAACCAGCTGGGCTGAGGCACGCACTTGAGAGAGCAGCCTCCCATCCCGAGTGGGCGCGGTGCCGGCAGGGCAAGGTGGAGGCCAACCCTTGTCAAGATTGCTTCACCTGCCCGGGCCAGTTTGGTTCAGTGGTTAGAGCGACGGCCTGCGGTCCAGAGAGACCCGGGTTCGGCTCCCGCTAAGGGCATGTAACTCGGTTGCAGTTTGTCCCCGGCCCTGGATGGGTCATGCAGGTGGCAGCCACTCGATGTGCCCCTTTCATGTCGATGTTTCTCTCTCTCTCTTCCTCTCCCTCCCTCCCACTCTATCTGAACAAAAAGTGGAAAAAAGTCCTCAGGTGAGGATTTAAAAAAAAAAAAAAAGATTGCTTCACCTAGCCTGGGAGGCCGCCCACCCAGGAGGGGCGCAGAGGAGGGAGGCAGAGGAGACAGAGGCAGGGCAGCAGCTCAGCCCCGAGGCCCACCCCCTTCCTCTGAGGCCCCGAGTTTAGGCGAAGGCACGGGGTGGCGTGGGGTCCAGACTCCCTCACGGTCCGCTCTCTTGGACTTGGCAGGTCTGCCGACGGCTTCAGGCCTCAGGGCCCAGACAGGATGAGCCGGGCCATGGTAGCCCTGTCCAACAAGCTGAAGCTGAAGCGACAGCTGGAGCACGACGAGCAAGCCTTCCCAGACATGAGTGGGGTGAGCCATCCCTGACGGGCGCCGCCTGGGGCCGGCTGGGCGGGGAATCCGAGCTGAGAGCAGAGATCCAGGCTGGCAGGAAGCTCTCATCCTCGTGAGGCTCAGTGTGCCAGCCAGGGGCAGCAGGGGGGGCTTTCAGAGAGAGGGCACACCAGCCCTGTTCCGGGCACAGCTGTTCTGAGCCCACCTCACCCCGACTCAGTTTGAGGACCTGGTTCTGTGGCCCTCTCTCCTCTACATCTGCCCCTCCCAACCCAGGGGGACCCTCCAGGAAGCGGCCCTTCGCATCTGATGTGGAAAAGGATGAAGAGTCTCAGGGGCTGCGGGAACTGCCCTCCGATGCCCGACAAGCAGCCGAGTGCGAACGTCCCCAGTGGTGAGCAGCAGGCCTGGCCCCGGGGAGTGGGGTGGGGTGTTTGCAGGTGGCAGGGCTGGAGGCTCACTCACTCACCCCTACCTACCTTACCACCTACCTTCCCCTTTCACTCAAATGACACCCTCAGAAACCTCTGGGCTTCAAGGCCCGGGGGGTTGGCGTCTTCACGGTCTCTCCCCTCCCCCAGGTGGCTCTGCCCTCACTCTCTGACATTGGTCTTTCAGGTGAGTTCACCCAAAATCCCATGAGCGGCCAGAGTCAGCCTCTGAGACACCTGCCGCCACCGGAGCCGCCATCGGCCATGAGCCCGGAGGAGAACGCGGAGGGCGGCTTCCCCGCGCAGTGCTGCGCTTTTCCGTACCAGGACTACGGCCTGCCCGCGGCTCCCAAGGCGGAAGGTGGGCACGCAGGGACTGGAGCCGCTGCCAGGGTCCGGTGTGGGTGGGAGGGGCCGTCACAAGGCGGCAGGTCTCAGCTCAGTACCAGGGTGAACTTGCTGCCATGAAAGGCCGCTACCTTGAGAGGGGTGAGCCCTCCTCCCCAAAAGAATTGCAGCAGGGGCTGAAAGGCCATCTGTCTATGGAGCTTTAGAAAGAACCTTCCAGAAATCAGGTGACATCCAGGGCTCTTTTGATCCAAAGAGTGCTCAAGCCTGTGTTTTATTCAGTTCTTCATGTTCCTGAATTGCCTAATGGCCCATTGACCTACTTGGGCATCACTGTGAGTTCAGATGGGAGCTGAGGACATGTATGGAGACATGCTGCTGGGGGGAGGGGCTCTGGAAAGGTCACCCTGCTGCACCTTCTGGAGGGTTAGTCACCTTGTACCTGCCTTCTATCCTGGACCTCATTAGTCTGTTCCCACCTTGTGAAACATAGATGCCATGCCCAAAAGGGTGCATGAACACAGTTCGAAGTTGTGGTGGAACATACCAGACCCTGCCCTAGCAGAGGGCAGTTTCTCCAGCAGTATGGCCTGGGGCAACCTGCTGTCCAGTGCCTTGGAATCCAGGCTTTGGAGGACAGCCCTGGGCTTAGATTCCAGCTGTGCTCCTTCCCAGGGGGAGGACAGAGCAAGCCGCCCTCTAAGTGAGAGGTTTGCATTCAAAGTGCTGAGTTCTGGTCTATTTTGTATTCAGTAAATAATAACCAGCATTGTTATTCCTGCTGTGAGCCCACAAGTTTCCTTGAACCTTAGAAATCAGTATGTGGGGATTCTGACAGTACATAAAAGAAGTGGAATTAGAAAGGGATAGTGTGAGTACCCACGGCTACTGTGGGAGTTTGGAGGGGCGTGAGACTGAGGGGGGAGGGGGCTGTGGGCTGTGGGAAGGGGCTGAGGGGGGAGGCCTTGGGAAGGGGGCCCTGCACATAAGCCAAGGGAAAGTGGACCCCACATAAAGGGACCCAATGGAGAGCTTCCAGGCTGTCCGTCAGGTTCCTGGGCCTCCTTCCAAGGAAGTGGGGTCTGGGTGCTGTGAGAGTCCCCTCTGCTCCTCCCTGCAGTGTGTATGTACACACACGTGTCTGTGCACCTGTCTGTGTGTGGCACCTATGCTCACAGATGTGTGTGCAGGAAGCAGCTGGTTCAGAATGCCCTCTCCCCACTGGGGCTGTCCTCCCTGCTGCCAGTGCACGGTGACACTGTGTCCCAGGCCAAGAAGGCTTCATGGGGCTCCAAGATCTCCCCTAAGCGCTGCCCTTGCTGCTGTCTGCACCATGCACTCTCTCTTCCCTGGGGCTCAGCACCCCACCCAGTGAGATGGGTCCACCCTTTGAGTATAGAGCAGGTCACTCAGGTAAGACATTGAAGAAACAGAGTCAATTTAGGGCTGCCCCACCCATACCCCCCGAGTCACAAAAACCAAAAATGCCTCCTGCTTGCTCAGGTGCCCTTCTCATCCCTGCTAGCGTCCTATGGAACACAGCCTCTTCCAAATGTTTGCTTTCATTTCAAAAGTTCGGTACCAACCACTCTTTCAGATATGGCGAGCCAGCTGCTCGGGCCGTCGTTTGAGCCCTACCTGCTGCCCGAATTGACCAGATATGACTGTGAGGTGAACGTTCCTGTGCCAGGAAGCTCCACGCTCCTGCAAGGAGGGGACCTTCTCCGAGCCCTGGACCAGGCCACCTGAGCTGGAGCCTCCGCCAGGGCAGGCACCCCGCCGCGCCATCCTGCCGGCTTCACTCTCTACATCTATTTTGGCAACTAGGTATTTCTAACACCAACACACTTTTTACAAGATGTACTTACCTGGCAAACTTGCCCAGGTTACCAAGTAATGGCCTTTTTCTGAAGATGCTCACTTTATGATCCATAGTTTTCAAATACACACTTGTTTCACCTGCTGTGTTTTACTCTGTCAATGAAAATGTTCTTAAATTTTGTAAGATTTTTCCCCCCACTTCAATTACTTCTAATTTATATTATTCCTAGGCCTCTCTTTCATGCACACTCGGTAGTCCTACTAACAAGTTTGGTGTCTGATTTCTACTGTAAGGGACGCTTTGGCTTCGCTGAACTCAAATGATGTTGTTGTTGCCAAAGAGAAACAAAATAATTTTGCTTTCCAAGCTTGCTCTGTGGCTCGCCTCCCACAGCCCTTTTCCTTTCTTTTTTAAAACGAATCAGCATATTGTAAATTTCAGCCTTTTTTTAAAGCCAGATCTTTGCTCTCATTTTGATGACTTTTGGGGAAATAAAGGAAATGTGAAGGGTGAACTCCAGTGTATGCGCTTGTCTGTGACGGCTGCAGTGGCTTTTCCTAGACTGTTCGGTGTTCCCCACATTCGTGGATTGTTTTTTAATTCTTCTTCTTCAAAACCACAAGTTTTCTTTTCTTAGATTTCTATCTGGGCTAAGAGTTTATCATATATATGGGTACTTTGTAATATCTGAAAACTCAGAAACGGAATGGAAGCCTCACAAAATCACTTTAGGATCTTTCTGGAGCTGCCCCTCCTGACCCGCGGACACGCGGAGGGCGGCGCTCCCACGGCCGCCGGACACCGCTCCAGGTTCCGCCCGCTGGCCTCTGCGGGGGCGCCGCGGCGGGCCCAGCACCCACGGAGCGCGCCGTGGCGAGGGAGCACTGCGCGCTGCCTTTTCCTCGTGCTCCGCGTGTATCGTGTATGTATGTATATATTATTGTTGCTGCCAAGAGGGTCTGACGGCGCATCTGAGGCAAGGACGTGCTTTCACTGTCCCTGGTCTTACTGCTGGCCTGCAGGTGCACTGAGCTGTGTGGCTCTGACGGGCTGTCTCGTGGCACATGTGGATGTTTCCGGAACCACTGTGCGATGGTTTAGGCAGGAATCCAGGAAAGAAAGGAAGGATTCAGAAAGGTGGGAGTGACCCAGTCCCTGTCTTCCCAGCTTACCACCTGGAGCAGGACTGAGAGAGGATGCAGAAAGGGGGGCAGCTGGTCCTGACCAGCCCCAGCCCGGTGCCCCCGCTGGCAAGCAGCAGGCAGACCTGGGGGCAGCCCCCGCCTCAGGCCCTCCCCCAGGTCTGTGTGTCACTTGAAGTGACTTGTATAGGTAGGAAGCACTGGAAATAGAGAGGTCTCAGAGCACTTTAACTCACTGGGTAAGAGGGATGATACCTTCAGTTTTTAAATACCAATCACATAGAACCTATCTGTCATGGGTACAATGAAGAAGTTGCTAGAAACACACACCTTAAGCACAACAGGCCAAGAATTAGGTAAGCTTGGATGGACTCACTGCCAAAAACAAAATTTAGATCATTTCTCTCACATAACCTAGATTCCTTTTGAAATTTGTTCAGTGTGTTTGCCCAAATCATACCTAAGCACCCCAGCTTCGTTCCCCACACGGCGACCGAGCCCGCAGGGCCACGGCCACGCCGCTGGGGTCAAGTCCTGCGTGTGTGTCTCGGCATCGAGGGTGTTCCAACCTTACAGTTTTACTAAAACACTCTGAAAAGTATTCCGAGCTTCACTATTAACTTCACCTATCGATGTAATGATTTCCTGTACATTATTATTTTGTTGAATTCCTACTGACAACATTATTACTGTATGGGAGCTTAACTTTATAAGGAAATGTATTTTGACACTGATATCTTATTAAAGTATTCTGATTCTACCACTGCTGCTGCCTCTTGTTTCCTGGGGATTCGTCACGGGTCACCCTGATGTAAAGCAAAGCATTAAATAGTGGCCGAGAACGACATTGACATTGATCCTCAGGGGACAGCTGAGGCCAACGGACAGGAAGAGGGGTGAAGGAAGAGAGACTAACATTAATACTTGTCAACTGCTGAGACTGGAAGCCACGTCACACCACCCACATTCTGTCTGCCACAGGGCCCTTCTCGTACCAGTGGGGACCCAGGGAAAAGCTACGCGGGCCTGTGTGCTGACCACACTGTGAGAAGGGAACGCTGGGCTCCGGCAGGCGGAAAGGACGCCAGTTCGAAAGGCTTGAGAGTGGGGACTTCCCAGGCGGAATGGGAATGGGAAGGGAGGGAAAACAACTCAGCCAGAGACAGAACAGTGAACGCTCCGACGTGGGCACGACGGGTTCCCTAACTAAAATTTTACTTTTCCAATCAGGACCTGCTTATGAACAGAGCTGTCTCCATGGTGTGACTGGGGGCTGGGGGGCAGCCTGCTGGCTGCCACCTCTGTTCACCGTCACGTACTTTGTTGCCTAGCAGTTCAGTGCACACGGTGTGATCTCCCACTTACCTCGTTAGCTCTCCTGGCCCGCAAGCAGAGCGACCCAGTGAGCGCCATTCCCAGATGGGACAGTCACATCAAGTGGCTCCCACCAGCCACCCTACGAACGGGAGAAATGAAATGTAAGCCCAGTCGTAGCCATGCTTCTCCCCTCTCACACCGAGAAGAAACAACACTCCCCGTATCCCTGTCGTCAGTCCACCCCCCCACCCCCCGCTCCCGTCACAGGGAAACCCCTGAAAGAGCTGTGGGTTGCTCTGGTCTCTCCGCCCCGACCCCAGCCAGCTCGTTCCTCCGGCCACTCCCATCAAGCTACTGTCCTCAGCTCTCCACCAGAACTTCTCCGGTCAAGGTCAATGATAATCTCCATGTTGCCCAACCCCAGAGCCAATGTTTCCCCTTATCTGGCTCCTCGGTGACTTCTACCAGCACGTACATGGCCCAGGGCTCATTCTTAAGATGCTACTCTTTATGCCCTTATCTCAGAGGCATATTCCATCCAGTCTCCCAGGAATTCAGCACAGGTTACCGACTGTCGATGCGCAAATGTGTATCGTCAGCCTTAATCCTGGGAGGTAGGGGCTGTTACCATGCTCCTTTCCCACGAAGGCAGACACAGTCCCTCAGACGTGAAGGGGTGTCCCCAGTGTTATAGAACTAGAAGCCTCAGAGCCAGGGTCTGAATCTGGGTCTGTCTGACTCTGTTTTCATTGCCAAATACATCATTCCCGTCTTTATTACTTTAACATTTAGATCTTCTTCTGGTTCTTTCGCTTACTCTGCTCATCTCCTCTCTTCCCAAACTTGGTGCCGGGACCTTTGGAGTGGACTTTGTGAGCTCTGCCCAGCTCCCATTCCCTTTGCCTGCCATCTCAGACTTCCTGAAAACCTCCGCCTCCCCGAAGCTGCTCTGTGGCGGACGCATCTCAGCCAGGCCTTCGACAGCGGGGGCCTCTGGGCACAGGCAGCTTCGGGACTCAGACGTGGATGGGCACCATCCCAGAACCCAACAACTTCAGAGGGCTGTGGGTCTACAAAACATCCTCGGGCAAGGTCATTAGCCGTCACCACCTGAAGACTGTGATAGTGCCCTTCGGGCCCTGGGGGTAGAGGCAGCTCCGAGTCCTTGCAAGGTGGGTGGGGGAGTGCACCAAGGCCCTTTTCCCGCTGGACTGATGGGCTACAGGAGCTTGGCCTCTAGAAGCATTCAAGCCCCAAGATAAGCTCTCCCTGCTTCCTTCGTGTTTTGTCTCAGGTAATCCAGTGAAGACGAACTTAAATGCTCCTGATTTCATATTGCACTTTTCAAAATGCAGGTGGCTCAGGAGTAGGTATGGCCTGTGTGACCTGCATGGCCAGGTGTGCAGGGACAGGCAGGGCCCCTGTGTAGAATTAACGCTCATCCAGCCACTGGGGGGCTTCTCCTGACTTGAGAGATGTTCTCCCGGCAGGCAAGTTCCAGCAAGGTGACACCTGCCCAGCTCCTGCCTTGGTTGGTAGCCTCCAGATGAGAAGTGTCTCCAGGAGGGGGACCCAGGCCCAGAGCTGAGGAAGGAGGCAGCCCCACCTGGTGGAGAAGGCCAGCTCTGGCTGCCTCTGGTCTACACGGGGCAAAATTCACCCTCTCCTGAAGCATGGTCTCTGATGCACATTTCAAACCGGGGTGGGGCTTGACCTGTGGGTTTCACTAGAGACAGAACGCAGACCTATGTCCTTCACAACGCAAGACTCAACCATCCACAGCCTGCTCTCCTCAGCCCTTGCCCATCCTCTGCTTTCTGTGAGAAAGGACTTATACCAGGAGGCTTGTGTAAGAGTGATTAGGTCACCTGGCTCTTCTACTCTCGAGACAGGGGCGACCCCAGTAAGACGGGCTGCGTGCATTTTTCCAGATTGCCTCCAAGTGCTGAAAAGGAGCCGGCACACGCCTACTCCTAAGCCACCTGCGTTTTGAAAAGTAAAATACGAAATCTGGAGCATCTGAGTCAGCCTCCACTGGATTACCTGAGACAAAGCCTGGAGGAAGCAGAGAGGAGAGAAAGGATGTAGCCCCAGCCCATTATTTAATTTGTCAATCTCATTTTGGAAATGCGGGGCCCAAGGCCCAGGGAGGCTAAGTCGACTCGCCTAGTCACACAGTGAGGGGTGGCAGGGCTGGGCAGGCCCCGGGCCAGCATCAAGGGACCAAGGCCAAATGCACTGTCAGTGAAGGGGCCAGTGTCCTAGCCCGACGCGTGTCCTCTGCCCGTGACGGCCGTTCTCAGTTCCTCAAGCAGCCTGCAGGCCGCCCCGCAGCTCTCCCGTCCCCGCCCCCACCTCACCTGTCCCCAGCCTCTTCCTTGTCTCTTCCTCAAGGCACTTTCAGTCCCTCCCAAACGGTCATGCTCAATGGTCACCCTCATTTCTTCAAAATGTCCCTCTGAACTCAGTGGGCCCTGTGGGAACTGTTTGGCCTCTCTGTGGCCTTTGTGAAGTCTAAATCAGTTCCTTCACTTCTAGATTGTACTTTCCCTGGCTTCCCAGGACCCAGGAGAACAGGGATTTGACGTACAGTGGACCTTGAACAACATGGGGATTAGAGGTGCCAGACACTGGCACATTTGAAAATCCCCATGTAACTGAAGTCAGATCTTTGCAAATGCAGATTCCCAACTGTGAATCAAAAATACACACTCCCCTAGCTACGCACTTTTTTAAAATGATACTTATTTGGTGAAGTCATGATCTCTCTCTCCAAGAGCTCACCAGCCAGTGGAGTAAACAAAACAGAAGTAACTCTGAGCAGCTCAGACCCCTTGAGATGGTGCCTAATAGTGAGGCCTGCGGCCCACTTTCCCAGGTAGTCCCAGGCTCAGACACTGTGGTCATGTCCCCAGGTCTGCTCTAAACATGGGCCAAGGACCCTCATCTTGGGTTCAGAAAGAATGAAACTTATAAATGCAATGAGCCCTTGGTTGTCTTAGAGCGGACTCAGGGTCCTGCAGAAGTTCAGAGGAGGCCAGGAGAGATCAACCTGGGCCTCCAGAGGAGAGAAACGCCCAACCAGAGCGGGAGGAAGAGGACTGGAGAGGGGGAGTGGGGGGAGCAGGGGTGATCATCCCAGGAGAAGTGGACACTGGGGACAAAAGCCCAAGGTCAGACTTGGCAGCTCATGCAGGACAGCCTGGGGAGCAAGAGGACAGGGAGCAGACTGAGAGGGCAGTGGGGCAGCCTGGTCACTCACAGCACAGGCCTGGAGTCAGACAGCCCCGGATTCAGACCCTGGCTCTGAGGCTTCTAGTTCTATACACTGGGGACGCCCCTTCACGTCTGAGGGACTGTGTCTGCCTTCGTGGGAAAGGAGCATGGTAACAGCCCCTACCTCCCAGGGTTAAGGCTGACGATACACATTTGCGCATCGACAGTCGGTAACCTGTGCTGAATTCCTGGGAGACTGGATGGAATATGCCTCTGAGATAAGGGCACACACAAAGGGTAGCATCTTAAGAATGAGCCCTGGGCCATGTACGTGCTAGTAGAAGTCACCGAGGAGCCAGATAAGGGGAAACATTGGCTCTGGGGTTGGGCAACATGGAGATTATCATTGACCTTGACCGGAGAAGTTCTGGTGGAGAGCTGAGGACAGTAGCTTGATGGGAGTGGCCGGAGGAACGAGCCGGCTGGGGTCGGGGCGGAGAGACCAGAGCAACCCACAGCTCTTTCAGGGGTTTCCCTGTGACGGGAGCAGGGGGGGGGGGTGGACTGACGACAGGGATACGGGGTGTGTTGTTTCTTTTAAACACTGAATGAACTTTTATTTTAGAATAAAGTCAAAGTCACAGAAAAGGTGCAAGAACAGCAGAGAGTCTCTGCTCCCAGTTCTCTCCATTGCTAACATTACCGCGGCACATAGTAGTGGTCGCCAGAGGAGAGGGGTTTGAGGGGGAGCTGAAGGGGATCAGAGGCATAGATTTCCAGTCGTAAAATCCGTAAGTCACAGGGGTACAGCCTAGGAATGATAGTCCATAGTATAATAACTCTGTACCGTGACAGATGGTTATTAGACTTACTAAGGTGATCACTTTGTTGGGTATATAATGTTGAATAACTAGTACGCCTGAAGCTAATCTAGTACTATATAGTAACTTTATTTTATTAATTTTTTAAAGCAAATTTTGCAATATCAGTGGTAGCTGAAATAACATGGAGGAGAAGGTCTCAGGCAGCAGGGGAGGCAGAATAGTCAGGTTGGCAAGTGGTGTTACAATGACACTGAGCAGGTAGAGGGAAGAGAGATGATGGAAGCTGAAGTCCCTGAAGGAGGAGTGACCAGAGGCCAAGACTGACAGCTGTGAGTGGGAGAAAGGGAGAAGAGGAGGTTTGGAAGCAGCATGGAGAAGCTGAACGACCCACC